ATGCAGATCCATCCAAGATGTGTACTGACCGAGATGTGCATCAGGATCGGAAGTTCCATCATATAAGCCGATTTGCGGAACTTTCACTTTAGTTGAGATAGGCTCTCTAGTCAAATGAGGAGCTAAGGGAGTTCCAACTTCTTGATACGTCTCTTCTATTACTGGAGTTCGTCGTGGCGGTCCTCCATGTTCATCTTGGCAAGTCTCCAGCTCAGCAATCCTTTTTCTTAGCATTTCTAACTCTTCTGATTCGCGTCTCTGGCGATTTCTTTCAATCAAACGACGTAATTCATTCTGCCCACGACGAGCATGGGTTTGTTCAAGAGTATGTCGTAAATCAGAAGGTTGATCATGTCGTGATAGTTCTGGTAACGATGGAGTAGGCTGTCGTGGTCGGTGTCCAGAATGGCTTTCTGCAGTTGCTTCTGATCGAGCTGGTTCTGGAATTCGAGTTTGTACCGGAACTACCCCACGATTTTGAGTTGTTACATCATGTTGTGATTCATGTGTGCGTGGATGGGAAGTTGCATGTGATGTTGCAGGGTTAGTATTTCTTCGTGGAACTGGGATTGAGCGATTTTGAGGATTATCCGCCGCGGCTGGTTCTATCCTTGTTCGTGCCATAAAATCAGTTAAGTTTTTCAAGAACTCTGGATCTTGAAATAGAACTGAATAATCAATTGATGTAGATGGCACGGCAGAAGTCCCGGTTGTATGAGTTGGATGACGATTGATCCCAGGGTCAGGATTTCGCTCATTTCGTCCAGAATTTGACATCTTTTGTGTGTTGTTTTACAAGACAAACAATTAAAAAGGGAGAAGGTTCAAGCCGGCCCTCCTTCTAGCGCCAAACTGTTGCTGTCTGAATTAGCAACTTAAAATTAAACACAGTTGATATTTTTTAAGAATGAAGATAAAGGTTTAATTGGATTTTATTGATTATGTTCACAAGAGTACAGAAGTCGGTTTTAAGCTGAAAACCGAGGTTGTCTTTAGTTCGTGTACAATGTGATCGAAAGAAGATCAGATCCTCGTACTATCATAAATTCTGCCATTTATAGTACGGTGGCTTTTTGTCCTCTTCCTTGAAATGGATTGAGATGCATTTAATATTGAGCTGCTTTGTTTGAGGCGGCGGGAAACATCAATGATTGCCTTTTTGTTTCGTTGGTCCAATCAAATGCTTCTAATGATTACTTTCTGTTGGGCGTGCTCAAACTTTATGGTAGTCGGTTGACTTGACGTCGGTTTATTTACGTTGTTTTTCGGATGTCGGTTTCGATCCTCTTCATGGTCTGTCGGAAGAGATCTTTCGGAACTCGGCAACTCTAATGAAGTCGGTAATTTGCTCTAATTTATTCCGACTTGCGAATTTGATATCTGATTACTGAATTTGATATCAACAGATTGGATATGAAATAACAACCGATTAAGACCGGTTATAACTCATATAATCACGCCCTTAGCAATTTGTTTCTCATAATAAATATATATGTATGATCCTAACCATTTTTCACACACACACACATATATATTTATACTTAACTTAAAATGTATATCATAAATTATATATTTTTATCAAATCATCTTAAATACATGAAATTCAATTAGACAAATTATATGGTTTATGCAAATTCAACTAGATAAATTATATGGTTCACGTGCGAGGCACGTGCACCTTACTAGTAATAAAAAAAGGGCATTACACGTCATCATGCTCTTGCACGTTTTGCTTCTTTTTCAAACTCTCATTTCTTATGGGAGGTGGATGTTTTTCCACATTGGCTTAAGGAACTTATCTGTAATGATTTAGATTCTAGTTGATTTGTTANAGAAAAATTATTTGAACAATCCGAAAAAAATCATTTCGTTTTCCCGCTTCAATATAGTGTTTTTCCCGCTTCTTCAATTCGTAATTTTTTTTTTTAAATTTTTCATCCCATGCAATTAGGTAACCAATCAAATCGAAACTTTTAGCATTCAATTTGGTAAGGTGTTCCGATTTTAGCATTCAAATCCAATTTCACTTCCTTTTTTTATGCCAATCAATTCGATTTTTTTGGTTGTTTCAAAATTTGTTTAGATTTATATTTTTATTTTATTAATATATTTGGAAGAGAATCAATAAATGTTTATCATAACTTTTATTTTAAAAATAAATTTGTATAAGCATACTTTTTACTTTATATGAAATTCAAAATTACATATTTTAATATATTAATAAACATTTATTATTTATTTTTTTCCTTATGTGATATAATAGAATTTCGGTATTAAATTTGTAAATTCAAACATTTAAAGGAAAAGATTCCAAACAATTTTTTTGGGTAAATTTCATTTTATCTTGGTTTTCATTATCACATTTTCTAACAAACTAATTAGTATTATATTTTTTTATCTACATTATCTAACCGATTTTTTATGATACAATTAATATAATATTTTAACAAATTAATCATTTGTCTAACCGGATTTATCTCTCTAACAAACCGGATTTATCTCTCTAACAAACTTGCCAATTTTTTTAAAATTAAAATGGTATGATTATTTTATGGAGATACTTATCAATATATTAAATATTTAGAAAAAAAATTTTTAAAAAATGAGTTATCCCTCCTTTTACTTTATTTGAAATTCTGACTTATATTTTTAAATATATTATTATTTATTTTTTTACATGTAAATATTTATTATTTATTATCTAAGTGATAAATATTATTGATTATCTCTTTAATAAATATTTATTATTTATTTTTTTCCTTACATGATATAATGTAAATTTGGTTACTAGATTTTTAAATTCAAACATTTAAAGGAAAAATCCACGAACAAATTTTTTGGTTACATTTCATTTTATTTTAACTTCCATATAATCACAATCCTAACAAACTAATTAGTATAATATTTTTTTACCCATTTTTATATAATCGGATTTCTTAAAATATAATTAATATAACATTTTAACTATTTAATCATTTGTATAACTTGATTTAACTCATTATCAAACTTGCCAAATTTTTTTTGAAATTAAAAAAAAATTGAAAGATTTTTATTTGTAAAATAATAAAAAATAACTTTACTTTAAAGTCTGGATTATTTCAATTATTTTTTGTACGTTAACAATCATATATTTTGGATTATTGATTTAAAAAAACAAATCAAAACCGTAAGGTTTAATAATATTCCTTAAATAAAAAATATTGTATAAAGAAAAGTATTTAATAATATATATTTTTCATTGATTGTATTTATTTTATTTTCATAATAGACGAGATGTGAAAAATATAAATAGTTATATTTAAAATAAAGTCTAAAAAATGTTTAAAATATGAACTCTTCCGTGCATCGCACGGGATATACACTAGTTACAGAAAAACTTTTGATCAAATCATCATTTTTTTTCTTAGTTTTCCACTGCAAATCTATTAAGTATAGTCTACTAAAGCCTCGACCACACAAACACCAAAGTACCAAACTGAAAGAAAAACGAGGGAGATCACAGACCATGTTTGTAGCTCACAAAACCACTCTAATGGCTTTATCCTTGTCCCTGCCCAAGCACTGTGTTCGCACCTTACCATTTCAACAAAGCCTTCCTTTGTCATCCGCCCATTGCCACCTTAACGTTTTCTCAGTTTGCTCATCCGCCGTCAATCACCGTCGCCGCCGTGGGCTGCGCCTTGCCAGCTTTTCCGCCGTCGCCACTGAAATTGCGGAAACGGCCGCTTCTCCGCATCCCGTGAATAGGGACGCCGCCGAGGGTAAACTCGTCCTTCCCACCAACCAGTCCTCCGAGAGACTCCTCAAGATTCGCCACACAGTAAAGCTTAATCCTTTTTTCTGTTTATGTATCTTCTAACCAAGAAATCTAGGAACGCAATTCGAAAGCAGCATTCGACTTTGGAACCGACGATGGCAAGCCGACAGCTCAATCAATAATTTCGTTCATTCTTTTCTGTGTTCAGTTTCATTTATTTGGATGCCGATTTGTCAATATTATTGAAACTTGAATCAAATGTTGATGCTTTGTTGACATGACAATCTGATTAGAAGTGTTCATTAATCGCAGTGTGCTCATGTAATGGCCATGGCAGTTCAAAAGATATATCCTGATGCAAAAGTGACCATTGGTCCTTGGATTGAGCATGGTTTCTACTATGACTTCGATATGGAGCCTCTGACTGATAAGGACCTTAAGATAATTAAGAAAGAAATGGTTAGCTTTTTCTTTATTTTTATTCCTTTTTAAAAGTTATGGCTGCTTGTTTAAACAACAGATTAGGATGAAACTGCAAGTGTTCATTATTTAATGGTTCTCCGTGGCGGCAGTATTTATTTCTTGAATAAATCTGTAGGATCGAATTATTGGTAAAAATTTGCCTTTAATCAGAGAAGAAGTTAGCAGAGACGAAGCCCAGAAAAGGATCATGGCTGTCAATGAGCCCTACAAGATGGTGATTTTAGAAGGCATTAAAGAGGAGCCTATCACTATCTATCACATAGGTGAAGTCCGATTATTTTTTCTGCTTTAGAAGATTGTGCTCCCCAAGAAAATGTTTCTATGAAGTTCCTACTAATGGACACATGCCTTTGACGATTTTTTTTTTTTTTTAAAAAAAAAATCCTCACAGTGAGCATATAAAATTGATGCTACTCTTAGCTTCTTCTTGGTTTTTCCTTCTCCTCATTGTAGGTAATGAATGGTGGGATCTTTGTGCTGGGCCTCATGTTGAATCTACTGGCAATATCAATAGAAAAGCTGTTGAGCTTGAGTCAGTTGCTGGGGCTTACTGGCGAGGAGACACAGATAAGCCAATGCTGCAAAGAATATACGGTACAGCATGGGAGAGTGAGGAACAACTTAAAGCTTATCTCCACTTCAAGGAGGAGGCTAAAAGGCGGGACCACCGTCGAATTGGTCAAGATCTTGATCTCTTTTCTATACAGGTGTTTCATTTATGTTGTTATTAAAGGATGCTCGTTTTTCTGTCTTTTTTCTTTTTCTTTCTTTTTTTTCCCCTATCATGAGTGCTTTAGTTCTCGTTATAGTTTAATCAGTGATAAAAAAAATTGAGTACTTAACTTGTATATAATGCAATGTGAAAGATTCTTCTTTATCCAACATGTTCTCCAAATGATCGTAGAGTATTGAGACTTGGTGACGAAGATGATTATGCGAATGAACTGAAAAAGTAATTATATATGTGTATGATCTCCCTTTTTTACTCTAGCTGGTATCTTAAAAACACATTTAGCGAAAATTCAAATCCTTCAATGCCTTTAGTCTGCAAATGCTGGAGTTGCATATCATTTGCGGAGGAAATTTTCTATTCGTATAGCAGAAATGACGCATACTGAGCTCTGCTATTTTCGATTTTTTAATATCTCAGTTTTCTCTTGAGTTTTTTTTTGGGAAAAGGAAAAAAAAATCAAACAAAGGTTAAGTTTTTCCTCTTGTTACATTTTCACTTAATGCACATGACAGCTACTTTATTCAGGATCTGTTCAACAGAGTCAGGGGGGTAGGGTAGAGTCATGTTAGATCCTAACATTCTTGTGATAAGAAATTGTTGAGGTCACATTGTATCTTAGATAAATACCTGCAGGATGAGGCTGGTGGGGGATTGGTTTTTTGGCATCCCAAGGGTGCTATCATAAGGCATATAATTGAAGCTTCCTGGAAGAAAGTTCACTTACAAAACGGCTATGACTTGCTCTATACTCCACATGTAGCAAGAGCAGATCTCTGGAAGATTAGTGGTCATCTTGAATTTTACAAAGAGAGCATGTTTGATAAAATGGAGATAGAAGATGAACATTACCAGCTTCGACCAATGAATTGTCCTTACCATATATTGGTTTACAAAAGGAAGCTCCACTCATACAGAGATTTCCCAATCAGGTTTGCTGAACTTGGGACGGTATATAGATACGAGTTATCTGGAAGTCTGCATGGCCTCTTCCGAGTTAGGGGATTTACCCAGGTCAGTGTTTTATTTTTTATTTTTTATTTTTTTTTCCATTGCTTATAGAATGACATTATTTTGATTTCAAATTCTTTTTTGAATAGCACAGTTTTCTGCTATGCATCACATATATTATTAGTTTTATTTCAAGCCTGGCTGCTTTAATCGGTTCCTTGCCCTTTGATTGGCACTTTTGACTTGGATTAAATAATCTACAGGCTTATAATTAATTATCCTTAATGATTTTACAGGATGATGCACACATATTTTGTCTGAAAGATCAAATTAAAGATGAAATCAGGGGTGTCCTGGATCTTACCGAGGAAATACTGCTCCAATTTGGTTTCGACAAATATGAAGTAAACCTCTCAACGAGACCTGAGAAATTTGTTGGTGGCGATGATATTTGGGATAAAGCAACAGCTGCTCTTAAGAATGCTTTAGATGACAAAGGTTGGAGTTATGAGATCGATGAAGGTGGTGGTGCTTTTTATGGCCCCAAAATTGACCTCAAAATAGAGGATGCTCTTGGAAGGAAATGGCAGTGCTCAACTATACAGGTGAATAATATTTTTATTTCTTGGCTAATGATTTTTATTCGTTTTTTTAACTGTTTTTGTGTGTGTAGGTTGATTTTAATTTGCCTGAGCGTTTTGACATCACGTATGTTGATTCAAGTCAAGAGAAGAAGCGACCAATAATGATTCATAGAGCAGTCCTTGGCTCCTTAGAGCGGTTTTTCGGAGTTCTTATAGAGCACTATGCTGGAGATCTCCCATTATGGCTTTCCCCAATTCAAGCTCGGATTTTACCGGTGACTGACACACAGGTGAGGAAAAAATCCCCCTTCTTCCACAAAAATTCTAGTGGATGAACTTAGGGGTATATGATTTGTACAGTAAATATCTCAATCAAAACTCAAATTTAACTCTACCTTAACTCAATTTCACTATCTCCAATATTATCAATATAATTAAATAATATCAACCAATCATTATTACACATCACATCAACTTTAATTCACTATTCATCCACTCACGTAATTTTAATTAACCACCACTTCCAATCATTTTCTCCTACTTTTATATCAAATCAACTTTAATTATTTTAATTTAAATATTATTTTAATATATCCACTAACAACTAAACATACTTCTTTTTTTTTTAAACTTAATTATAGTTAAAAAGATAACTAATTTTTTACTAGTTGAATTCATATCCAATCACCCCCTTACCGATGGATCATACAAATCTTATATTGAGCTTTTATGCAAATTTTGCTAGAACTTATGAAAATCTACGAAAATTAGGACATGCTTCAAGTAAAAAATGTTGATGCTTGTGTATTATTGTGTAAATACAGCTCGAGTACTGCAAGGAAGTGAGTGAAAGACTGAAAGCCAATGGCATCCGTGCGGAAGTTTGCAGTGGTGAGCGGCTGCCCAAGCTCATCAGGACCTCAGAAAAACTTAAGATTCCACTAATGGGTGTAGTGGGGCAGAAAGAGATAGAGACTCAAACAGTCACAGTTAGATCGAGGTTCGGTGGGGAATTGGGAACCATGGCAGTTGATGAATTTATTAGCAGAATGAAGGATGCAATCGAAAATAGGACTTTCCTTTAATCCAGGATTTTCAACATTTGTAACTTTCTGCAGTATTGTTACCATCCAAGATACTTCTCATACAATGGGAAGAAAAGTAGTGATTACATAGGTGTGCCATTGAATTTCAAAGTTAAATGTTAATTGCTTAGAGTATGTGCACACAGGCAACTTAACAATCGTAGAGAATAACTTCTTGATATCGGTCACATTTGAGCAATCCCTTTCCTCATAAGCATATCATACACTTTATCAACCTTGTTTGGGTCGACATTGAACAAGTCATGTGCATCGGATTTTTTGGTTACGTTTCCATTTAATATTCCCATTGACATGGTTTGCAGCATGTTGAGGTAATGTGTTGGTAGGATTCTCATCTCCCCACATAGCTGTATCTCCTGCATGGATTGACAAAAACTTGCATCAAGAGAGATAACAAATGAATGAACAAAATAAGTAGTTCGAATGGGTTCAAACCATTACATACTATGGAGATGACAAACAAAAGCAATAACAAATCTTACATCTTCAGAGAGTAAATCAGCTCCAAGAAATCCAGTGACATCCCAATTATCCAAGACATCAAAACTAGTGAGTCCCTTGGAGTCTGTCGAAGAGTCTTTTCCACCATGATCTAATAAATCTTGGTCTCCTTTCTGATAATTAGTTCTCTGCAAATTTTTGCCACCTGGACCGGGCTGAGAGTGCTCCTTTGCTCGACAGGCATTTTCCTCAATTCCCATTTTCATTTTTTGGTCAATAAATCTCTCAGCCTCAGAAGATGTACGGCAACCAGCTGCCCGAGCTTCCTGCACGAGCAATATTTTACATAATCGGAGACAAAATTGAAACAAGTGTTTGACAAAATTGCCGCTTTGGATGCACACCAATAAATTAGTAGAGAAAATCAGTTGAATGAAAACGTCGTCCACAAGGTTTTCAATGATACAATCTTGAAATTGATATGATGCAAATCCAATTCAACTTATTCAATTACTATGGATAGTTAGAAGGAACAGCATATAGTGTACCTGAAGGTACTGAATTCTTTTCAAAAGCCTTTGTTCTTCAACGATACTCCTCAGCAACTCACTGTGTTCCTCTCTAGAATGAAACCGCATGAATACCCTGTAGCGACGGCACAGTTCCTTCTCTTCTAAGGTAAGTTCCTTATCAAAAGGGTCATGATACAATAAATTTCTCTCCAAGATGAAGTCCTTCCTTCTTTTTCTTTCATCAAGCCTGAGATATTGATAGGCCCATATGCGGAACCAAAAAAGAAGAAACAAATGTGACAAAATGCCCAAGTATATGAGCTAACATGTATCATTACTTCAGGCAATGGGAATTGGAAAAGCTAAAAAACATCTACACAACGATCAAACATCCAAATGCAATGGAAATACTTAATTGCTAAATCAATTGAGCAAAATGGAGCTGACAGGTGTTAGAGAAATATGCCCATTTGAACGGAGAGGATATGAAAGCCAATAAAGCAAAAGAGCATGACACATTATCATAAGGAACTGGAGAGCTGAAAAATCCTGGCACGGGTGACAGATCTAAAGCTTCAGGGATGAACAACCACCTCATATTGAAGTGAATGAAATCCAGGAATACGATGGACAAGGAGATAAAATTCACCGTTTGGAGTATATATGCAGAACTTGTATTTTCAGTTCACGCTCAGCATCAGTATCTGAATCCTTGAATTCCATGTCAGCGAGCAACTGTTCAGCATCATTGTCATATTCAACTTCAAACTCTTGTCTCTTGGAATTATATCCACTTAGTTCTTTCACAGAAACACCTTCATCCCCAGATGTCCTTGGTTTTTTCTCCCCAATGCTCCTATCTGTGTGAAACTCAGGCCACATGGCAGATGCTGTTTCAGAAATCTATGTACACAATTCTGACTTATAGAGCACAAATAAAATAATGAACACCTGATATATATGTGCAAATTTTAACCACTTCCTACTCTGATTTCCATCATATGCCTTGTTTGGAAATCAGCAGTAAGTAGTCATGGAGTGTATTAGTGGTATTGACAAATGAATTGCATTAGCTGTTTGTAAAAATTATTTGGTGAAACTAGTTGTTTGCTATTAGCTGTTAGTGTGTAAAATTTCTTATAAATATTTATACATTTTACTATATATATATTTTTGTTACAATTATAATTATTTAAAAATTATAATTCATTTTTTTAATTGGCAGCCAATGTTTTAATAAAACAAAAGGTAAATATTTGTTTGGTAGAACAGTAATTATTTTTTATATTTCATTTATTCTTTTGAATACTAAAAGTAAATACTTCTATTCGATAAAAACTCCATTAATCTTTCGTGGTTAACAAAGTTAAAAACATGATCATTTACACTGCTCAGACACATGTTGGTGACCTTTTGACGGCAATTAAATAACAATAAATATATAATCCATCACAAGCATTCAGTCCGGTAAAAGCATTCAATCCACCAATCAAAAACGCTGCAGTGCAAGTGCCTTCATTTCAGCTTAGGCCCAATTTGATGATATAAAAAGCTGATTAACCAAACCTTTATTTATTTATTTATTTATTTTTTTGAGTCGGTTAAAACGGCAAAAATAGCGTTTGGGGCCAAAATGCTGGGAACAAAAACTACTGTAAATATGCTACTAGTGAGAATTCACACCTTCAACTTTGACGACATCAGGACCATCTGTGCTTGGGGCTTTGCTGGATGTCCTCTTAACAGCTTCAGATGATATTTTACTGGAGCTGGAACCTCCAACAGTGTCTACCTCTGAGAGGGAGAATATATCAGAAACTGCAAATTAATTTGTGCATGTCTGTCTGAATTTATTATTTCAACAGACTTCCAACAAGGACTGTACCAGAAGAGATGCTTGAGGACGAAAGTCCAGCTTGACCTTCATTTCTTTGATCTTCCATCCTGACCACAATACCATATAAAATTAGCAATCAAACCAGCAAGGCCAAGGGATGCACAGAAAAACTGTCCAGGCATACTTGATTTCCGTGGGAACAGCGGGATCTTCATTCCCACCAACTTCTCCTGATGTGGTAGCTCCTGAAGAAGTTAGGATTATATAAATGGAAGCAGTTAGAAATAATCAGTATTACATTAAGAAATAACGGGAAATGCTAAGAAATAACACACTGGGCTTCATGTTAACCAAGTAAAGGAAAAAGATGACTGCATTAACGGACATAAAAGTACTATGCTTAACTAATATTTAAATTATTTCAACGCAGTTCAAAGACCTGAGATGAAAAAATGTCATAAACTAGAAATGATAGATATAGTGAAATGTAGAAAATAACTAGCTAGGCATACATTTCACCATTTACAAGTTTGCTACCAGTCAGAGAAGAACAGAATAAGTTACGTGAGAACAGAAGGGGCACTCATATATCTTGTCAAATACCTTTCTTGGTTTCACTATGTTCTTTGGCCATAGCAAGAAGTTCCTCTCTGTTCTTTCCCATCACATGAGACATGTCCTGAGAAACCAAAAATTCTTTAGGTAAGGTTATGCTTCCAAATTGAAGGTAATTGAAATTTAGATAAGGGTGGATCAAACGATATGTCGTACCGGAAGAGGAAAGCACTGAGAATTCATATATATTTTATCATAATGGTCAATACATTGTGATTTATTTTTCGTTCCGACATGTTCTGCTACTTCATTCCAGTTACCTAGTCCATACATTTCAAGACCCTGAAAAATAGTAACCTTTCAGAATATAGAAACCAAAATAGTCCATGATATGCTAGTAAGCAAAACACACCAGGTTTCCATGTCTTCGTAATAGGTCATCAAGAAAAGATTTTTTTTTTTTTTTTTTTATTTTTTTTTTTTTTTTTTTAATTAAGTTAAGTTTGATAGGACAAATCAATACAATAGCATACTTAAATAGAACTATAAAAGACAAAATTTTCCAAAGCAATGAAATTGCAAAACTACCTCCAGAAGCAACATCTCCTCATCAGCATTCCAGTCAGGACATATAAGAGGAAATGCCAGGTTGTCCTGTTGAAAAACAGGAGATCAGGAAAAGAAATGAAAAGGCTGCTCTTTCAAAGAGGCACTTGAGCATGGCTTTTGAAAGGGTGGAAAAACAATGACAATGACAAAACAAATTGGGAGACAAACTAGCACATGTTTTGTACACCTAGAACTGAAACAAATTTCATGTCTGTTTGAGACTGTCAAGATAATAAAACATTCATGTCTCAAGCAATAAGAAGATCGCAGGGTTAGACATTAGTGCTCCAAGGGAAAATACTAAAACCAATGGGGGAAAATTTGTGCATTCTTGGCAAGATTTTTGTGTTGGCCACACATCCTCAGCTAGCAATGTTCATAAGAATCTTTACTTTCTTAATTTAGAGAAGACCACTCAATTAGTATCTACAAGCTAAACTTAATAATTTAAGTACCATTTTAACATTTCACCAAAATCTGAAGTTCCTACTATAACTCCCAAAAAATCATTTATGATTTTGTGTAAGATACACATGAAACATTTTGGGAAACATTTTCCAACATGAAATGAAAAGTGCTACATGTGGGCACAGTCTAGTTGATATAACCATTATTAAGGTGAAAACACAAATAGTAACTTCTTGTTGACACAAAATGTCGAGAAATTCAACATACCATGACTCTGTAAGGATGATTGCTTTTGTGGGGTCGGACCTCGGTTCCAACAGAAAAGCATTCGACACAGAGATCAAAATCAGAACATATTACACACTTGATCCGTATCTTTCCCGATATGTCTTTGTTGCAATAGTTACAATGATATAACGCCTTCTTCCCATCAGTTATTCCCGGAACCTCTTCAAATACGAAATCAACAAATTTTAAGAATTCAGGGATCTATTTATTAAACAAATTTTAATTTTGCATACATATGCATACCAGGAGGTGCACTCTCGTTAGTCTCTACATTCTGAGTCGATTTTTTTCTCTTTGACCGACTGAAAAGAAAAAACATTTTAAACAATGAATACAAATAAATGCATCCTCAACATGAATACAAATTGAAAAAACACGTACTGTTAGGGTCAAATGTTTCTTCAATTTTGGTGCTTTACATATGATTGAGTGCATTTAAAACTGCTACAGTGCATTTTCCACATAGATTTCTTAAACCCCATGCAAGCGCCATGTTGATAAAGCTCAAAATTAACAGGTTTGGCAACTACTACAAATTCTGATTAATTCTTTGTTCAGAGCACTCTTGACCCAAAAAATGTGAATATAAGTCGCAATTGAGCTCAAATTACCGAATTTAATCGAGAAAAAAATGCTCAACCCAGAGTCTATGCCGGAAGGCCAATTTCCTGTAGTTCATTATGAAACAGCCCTAATCGACTACGACAATAAAATATTTCGCACACGTCAATTCGAATTTGTTAATTTGAGGGGGGAAAATGAACTTTACGCCAATCGAAAAAAAAAAGTAGAAATAGAAGACGATCATTTTAAGGAAAAACACCTCTGTGCAGGATCATCTGCGGCGGCCTGAGCAGCGGCGGCCCGAGCTGCGGAGCGCGAACGACCCATTCAG